TAGTAGTAGTAGTAGTAGTAGTAGTAGTAGAGCGGATCCAAGACTCCTGCCACTCGCAGGATTAAAATAAAACAGACATACAGTTCTTCCAGTTCCTTAATGACAGTCGAACAATGATCGATTCAAGTTTTCAAAGTAACTTAAACAATCTCCACAACCCTGTAATGCAAATTATATATCATTGACATCATAAAATTCTAAAGCATTTCTTTTCAAACTGGTCAATGTAAACTAAACAGACAGAGATACGGCTAAATTACTTATTTCCATTGAAATCATAAATCGATCAATGTTAAGCCACCATTAAAAAAACCTGAAAGTACACTGGACAGACATTTCATTCTAGTAGTGTGAAACGCATCATCAGCAGTGCTTATTCACAACGTTGCAAGCTGGAATCGAACTCAGGAAGTTTGGTCCAATGTTCAAACACTTGACCTTTAGACTAATGAACTGATTTAGTCACGATATTTGCTTATTAAACTAATTAAATGAGTATGATGGTTGAAGATCTTATGTTCAACATCATGAACTTACACTTATCAAGAATATGAACAATATATATTTTTGTTGAGTTATAATCTGGACTGCCGTTTCATGGGACTCATCAGAAGTGTGCATCCATGACTATTACTACTCGTAGGAATTGAATCTAGGACCTTCGGTCTCACGTATGAACGCCTAATCTCATGGATCAGTGAGCCGGCATCCAACAGTGCTAATGTAAATTCACAGTCATGAGCAACTCTATGGTGCAAAACATAATCTACAGTCTACGGTACATTGTTATTGCTATTGTAGTGAAGGAGAACACAGGTGGGGCAACCGAACTGTATTTAACGAAAATTACAGAGTTACTCAGTAAAATAGGAAAACCATATCGTAAACGGTTAATTTGCAAATCTTCAATCCATCATCAATCCATTGTCTGACATTTCACTATTCATGCGTTTCATACAAATTCCATTGTGTTCCCACTCTTCATTTCTTCTTGATCTTCCCCTATCTTCTGCTGCAAGACATTACGTTTACACTCACGTCATATACTACTTATAAGTAGCGCGCACCACACTATGACTTATTCGAATTATCTATTGTAGATAGGATTCAGAATTGTATTGATTGTTTATTTGTGATGTTTTAGTGTCAGCCATTCCTTTTTTTATTATTTCAACCTACATGATATGATCGTTAAGCCTATTAATTACTTGCTTGCTTAACTTACTTACACCTGTTACCTCCAAAAGAGCATAGGCTGCCAATTAGTATTCTCCAACCTACTCTCTGTCCTGTAAGTCTGTAAATACACACACTTAATTACTGATTATTATTCAGTAAAAACTGCTGTTCAATTTTATTACAACGAAAGAAGGATTTTGTTACATTGAACGGCTAGCTCAATTAAGTGCACACATAGTAGATGCGTGAATCACGCATTTGACGGCTACATGCTGTTTATAATCATTATTTACATAATAAATATCTCAAATCAAGGGCATTCAAACTAACAAACTAACTAACTAACTGTATATATAACATGGAGAAAAGGATTTTAGCAATGCCCAGTCGAAAACAAATTTGTTTACATCTCTTCTTTCCGATTTATCGTTATATATCGTATCTTTCTGAATACAATTTATTAATTTATACCTGTCAAATGAAACTCCACTGTCATCACAAGGCATCTTAACTCTTCACAAATTGAAGACGTTCCAATTGCCAGAGAAGGCTTTATTTAAATACTTTGGATTCTTTGTTCTCGTCAGCGTTCTGTTAGTAAGTTGGCTTTTTGTGAGATAGAATCGCTGACCCCCCCCCCTCTTTTATCCGTGCTCTGGACAGGCGATAACGCGAGAGGGGCTCCAAGAGGGTTAGCAAAGCAAGGGAAGTATTTCTACAAGTAAACAATATCTACAACTCAAAACAGCTATCAGCCAACACCAAAATCTCTATTTTCAATACAAATATGAAGATAGCTGACGTATGGGGTGGAAACCTGAAGAATTACGAAAGTTTTTATTAACAATTGTTTACGCAAAATACTTCTGATCTGCATGCCAGAGATCATCAGCAACAGACTACTGTAGGATAGAATAAATCAGGTTGCAGCAGAGGAAAAAATTAGCAAGAACCGCTGAGGTTGAGGAAATCAACCAACTGTGTCACAAGGAAAACCCCAATATGGAATCCTCAAAGATAAAAATGCAGACCAAAGAACACATCACATGAAAAGAATGAATAGCAGTCGAGTAGAACAGGAAAGAAAGACCCAGGACAATGTCGATTGAAGAATGCTGGTCAGTGGGTCTATGCTTCATTATGGGTAACAGATGTAAGTAAGTAATTATTGTTTTGCATTTGGCGAAAGAGTTCAGTTCTCACCTTTTTTAAATATTGATAATACAGAGTAAGCATAGTAAACTTTTGATAAAGATAGAAAACATGAGGTTTAAAATGATGGCTTATTTTCAAGGGAGATTGCATCACTGAAACAACAACATAAAACATCCTAATCCTTGACTTTTCCCCAGTGACCACCCCCCATACATCAATAAGTGAATGCATCTTTAGGCCTCACTTTTTTGGTCACAGTTTATTTTAAGTCAGAATCATCATTTTCCATGTCAGTTAATTTGCTATATAGTTGTGTGGTGCGCGCTATTTATAAGTAGTATATGACGTGAGTGTAAACGTAATGTCTGGCAGCAGAAGATGAGGGAAGATCAAGAGAAAGGAAGAGTTAGAACACAATGGAACACAATTTGTATGAAATGCATGAATAGTGAAATGTCAGGCAATGGATTGAAGATTTGCAAATTAACCGTTTACGATATGGTTGTCCTATTTTACTGAGTAACTCTGTAATTTTCGATAAATACAATTCGGTTGCCCTCACCTGTGTTCTCCTTCACTACAGTAGGATACCATCGGAACATGATTATTTGCAATTATTCAACAACAACCACAAAAACAGCACATGGCAATTCTTAGTTTAACCGACTGATAATACGATATCGATTCCTTTTATGTAAGCAACCAGTAACATTTCAGTAATTTTCCATCAACATTTTTCATACTGCTGCTCAAGTTGACCCAGCGAGCATGACAAAACGAAATCGGATGAACGGATTTAATTTATTCTGAATCCGATTTGTATTGTCAATGATCGACTGGGTCTTGATTAACAAGTAAGTCACTTTGGTTATCAACATTCCAAGTCGCCATATCATACTGTTTAGCACATTCCAGTGAAGTTATCAAGACAAACAAAATAGTACGAATCCTAACGATTAGCAATGAGAATAGAAAACATTGAGCATAGATATAATATGATTCAAGGATGAATGACAAATTCATGAAATGAAAAGGGTAGAATGATTTTAAAATTCAAAATTTACCAGAAAACGAGTGAATGTACACAAGTACCAGTACAAGACAGATTCCGAGACAAGTCGTTCATATGTAATTCTTCTATTTGAAGTCAGCAATGATGATGATGACGCTGTCGTTGACAACAAGAGTTAGTGAAGCATGCAACTCAGAGAATGTAAAGTCAGACAGATGCAACGTAGAAATTCGTACGTAGTAAGTACATCAGTTCAGGTTGTCATACCACATCAGCACAGAGATGTAATTGTCAATTCAAATCCAATAGTAGAAGAGGTAGTAAAGGTATTAGAAGTAATCGGAGAGGTTAGGATTAGAAGATATTATTCAAGAAGTATGATTCAATGAGAAAGGATTAGAAAGTCAAAACTAAAGTTGTTGAAGAATCCAGAAGATTAGGATTTGAGAGAACACAAAGAATAAATTCACCGGCGCCACTGCAAACCGTTTTGAGCCATGTCATTCAGAGTATCTAACCATCGATTATTATCATCTCGCGGACCCCAACCAGGTATTCGGCAACTACCGACATGATACAGTCCACTTGTCAATGACTTCATGGATTTCTGCGATGTTTTGGTTTGGCCCCCCTAGCTTTCTCCCAGCCTATTCCCACACTACAAAACGAAGCTCGAAGAGGCAGTCGGTGGTTAGGCATACGCAACACATGTCCCAACCACCTCAACTGATGAAGTTTCAATACTTTATCTATTGATCTGCCATTCTTACCTAGCACCCGTTTCCCAATAACAGCTTTGCTCACTTGGGTGTCCCAGGATATACGAGCAATGCTTCGAAGACACCTATGATCGAAAACCAGTAACCTACGAATATCTTCTACTCTCATTGGCCATGTGGATGAGCCACTCAGATTCTTGGAATTCAGCGTGAAATTCATCCGTACTTACTAATTGACTTACGTCTGTTACCCTGAATGGAGCACAGGCAGCCAACCAGTATTCTTCAACCTACTCTGTCCTGAGCTTCCCTCTCTAGTTCTGTCCAATTTTCGTTCATTCTTCACATATTTTTCTCTATTTCTCAGCGTAATGTGCTCTTTGGCCTTTCTCTTTTCCTTTTACCTTGAAGGCTCAAAGTTAGGGCTTGTATTGTGAAGAAGTTGGGTGCTTTCCATTGTATATGTCTTATTCACTTCCACCGCTTCTTCTTGATTCCTTCCCCGGCTGGAATCTGGTTTGTTCAAAACTCATTCATGTACACACGTAAATAGGTTTTTCTTTTAGCTAATATCAATTCGTGATGAAAGCTCTAACTCTAGTTTCGTCAACTAATTTACAACGCTTTTTAGACTCTAAGTTGGCTGGCGAATTTTTTCAAGGTTACTGGTGTCACTCAAAGGTCGTTTATAAAAATTATGATCGTACCATTATAACACTGAACACGGTAAAATGACCACATCATTTCGATGAATTTTTCCCTAATATGAAGATAATTGTTACTTAGGACTTCTTTCTACACATCATGAAATTCATTTATACATGGACATTATATGAAACCGTTTCATTTTAATAAGAAAAAGGAAATAAAATTTCCACAAATATGTTAGTTTATTATATCTGAATTTTATTACGATAAAACAATACACAACTCACTTTTGGTATCGGTAAACTTAAATCCCAAAATGGATCAAATGTAGTCGATTGATATGAACAATCACAGCATTCCAGTGTACTCATTAATTGGCCAACAAACAGATCTATGTATTTTGTTCAACGATAAAAAAATAAAATATATTTTTCATTACTGAGTTTACGGAGATTGCTGTTTTACACATTGAAATTATGGATCGATAGTCGTAAGATTACCATTGAAACCTGAAAGCACTAAATGGCGCTAGAGCACAAGACCGAAGGTCCTCGGTTCGAATCCTGCCACTGTAGCAGGAGTTGCAGATGTGCACTGCTAGTGAGTCCCATACTAGGTAGGATAAAACGTCAATCCAGTGCTTCCAGGTTTCGAATGGTGATCTAACGGTGATTGATTCATGGTTTTAATAAGAAATATAGTCAAAAAGAAACGAATATGTAATGTGTGTGCATACACATGTTGAGCACACATGACTTGTCCTAGCTTTCGGATAAGCTGATTAACTTTTCTGCTCAAGTCACTATAATATGCCTCCCGAATTTGTCAATCATTCGCTTACAACCTTGATTGTTTTTATTCGAGTGTGTGTGCCGCTTAATTTTGCCTGAGTATAAATATTTAGCCATGACATATCGCGCTGAATTGGCCTGCTCTGATTTTTCACTTCTCTTGGTTTTCCTTTTGTTATGTTCGTCACTAGGTACGCTTGAAGCTATTACGAGTTCACCTTAGTCGATAAACGCGAACGAGACAATGAACCAGTGTCCAGGTAGGCTACCTTGAATCGCAAACTGTAAAACAGAAGTCTTGGCAAGCGTAGAAAGTATATTCTACAAACACCCAGCAATCACACAGTACAATCAAGCACACAACTCTCGTTTATTTATACATCATAGAAACGTCCTTGGGACAGTCACAAAAATAGCACAGTAAAAAAAATAGCAGCCAATCACAGCCATGGATTTTCCTTGTGGGAAATAAAATCTCAAGGTCAACTGATCGGCCCATGCTCGCAAACGTGAAAATCCAAAATAAGGCATTTATCAAACGCGTTCTGGGGATCTAATATTCCCAACACTTTTAACGCGTTGTATTCTCATGTTTGCCTAGGTGAACGATTGCATAAAATATACTGACCGAACTTATTCGTACGGTTCTTTCAGACTAGTTTCCAAACTCCTAAGTGATCTGCATCAACAGTGTGCAGCATACATCCATGGCACGAGATTTTAATGTCGTCCTGGGCTAAGAAAGCATTTTGTCCAATTGAGTACTAAGTCTGAACATTAAAAGCTCCGAATTGTAGTTTAGAACGTGGTCTCAGGAGACCAAGAATAACTTTTCACTTACTCGAATAGTTCGCATCACTGATGCACGGTGATAAAGAAACTTGGGAAGACTTAGTCGTGAAGACAACAAAGTAATTAAGAGGTGTTAGAAGGACATGATTGTGACCGATTTAGTCTTGTGTGCTGTTAAGGGTATAAGAGAAGATGTGGAAGGGTATTTCTTGAGGAGCTTGAAAAGAAAATTGTATCAGCATTGGTCTTAGAGACATGGGAGCGTGACCGCAGAGCCCAAGGGTCATCTGCTTGAGTCCGGTCATGGGTAGTATTTGAAGTGTTAGCTTCGTTCTTGTTTAAAAGGCCTTACTGCTGGAAACGGGAATCCGTGAGTTAAGGTGAGGTGTACTATATTAAGGGTCAACCTCTTCTAACCCCTTCCTTCCTTGTGAGAAGGCAGCTGGTTGTACGAGGAAAACACTTTACTGCTGTCACACTCTTCTACAGTCAGTAGCACTACATCGCCCTCAAACCTTGAGTAGATGCTTTTAGTCTTACAGTTGCCCAGTCGACCTGCCTTGTATGATATGACCCAAAAGGACATATATTCTAGCCAATACAGCTCGGTCGGATCACCAGGATAGGCAAGCACAACCATTACGTCAAGGAAGGGGTTAGAAAAGGTCGACCCTAAAAATGTCACACCTCACCCTACCTCACGGATTTCCGTCTCCGTAGGTAAGGGTGCCCACTAAGGGCTTTCAAGAACGGAGCTAATACTAAAAAAACCTTTCATCAAAAGGCCGTGTGTGACCGGACTCAAACAGTTATTCTTTGGGCTCTGTGGTCACGCACCCAGGTCTCAAAGACCAGCACTAATCTACCTTCTTTTTCAGGTCCCTCAAGAAACAACCTTCCACGATGTGGGCAGCCTGGAAGTGACAACCGCCCTCATACCCCTAACAACACAAGAGACCAAATTGGTCAAAATCAAAAAATACAAAATAATATTTTTTCCAAACCTACCTACAATTTCACTATTATCCATAGATAAATATCGTCTCCAATAGAGATCTGCTTTTTCATTGTCTCTAATAATAAATCAAGAAAAAGGGAATGGAAAAGTTGAATAATTTATTGATTCTAATGAACATTAGGATGTTAGCAATGCTCTCCTCTTTCTTTACTTAAACATTATTACTATCTAAAAAGCTTAGTGGTAAACTATATTACTGACTCTTAAAGAATGAATGAATAAAAATTTAGAAAGTCGATCAATTTGCAATCAAGGTTGTTAGTTCACTTGAACACAGACACACATTCAAGAATATTTGTGTAATGAACAATGAAATTGAAGTGTTTTATAGAGGCAATTTTGAAAAAGATGATATAATTAGTGATGTTTCAAACAGTCAGTCAAACAGTCAATTACTACATAGAACTTCGTACGTAAGTACGCACGTACATCAGTTCAGGTTTCCATAGCACATCAGCACAGAGACGCAACTGTCACCTTAAATCCAATAGTGGTAGCAATAGTAGAAGCATTAGCAGTAATGGAGAAGATTAGGGATCGAAGATATGATTCAAGAAGTATGGTTCAGTAAGGTAACTTTGAAAAGAGAAAGATAGAAATGATGAAGAATTCTGAGGATTCGAATTTCAGGGAACACAAACAGAGGGTGTACCTGCACCGCTGCAAACGATTTCGAGCCATATCGTTCAAGTTCTCTAGCCACCGACGACTTTCGTCTCGCGGACCCCAACCAGACAGCCTACAGCTACCGATATGATTCAGTCCACTTGTCCGCGACTTCATGAATTTCTGCCACGTTTTGGTCTGGCCGCCCCTCACTTTCTTCCAGCCTAAACTTACACCACAAAACATCGCTCGTCAAGGCAGTCGGTGGTGACGCATTCTTAACACATGTCCCAACCACCTCAACTGGTGAAGCTTCAATACTTTATCTATTGATCTGCCATCCTTACCTAGCACCCGTTTCCTAATAACAGCGTTGCTCACTCGGGTGTCCCAAGATATACAAGCAATGCTTCTAAAACATCTATAATCGAATACTAATAACCTACGAATGTCTTCTACTCTTACTGGCCCTATTTCTCAGCCATAAAGTAGGACGGAGCGAACTACTGCGCAGTACACTCGTCCTTTGGTGATCAGCAAACGGACATCTCGCCTACGCCATAAGTGACGCAGGTTGGCAAAAGCCGATCAATAGGCAAGCCCAACCACCACGTCCAGGTAACAGATATGGTCCAGAATCAATGAACTGACCTTTAGAATTTATTTTAAAGATTTACAAAGTTATCATTCATAAGAAAAATATTAATTGGATTAGTTTTAGTGATCTTTTTTTTGGTTTTGACAAATTTCAGATACATTTGTAGATAATCTGCAAACATACATACAGACTAAAAGTTAAACACCTGCTGCGATACTTGATGCGAAGGCGCAAATTGTCAAAGTAATGGTAGCAACGTTTGTAATTCAAAATATTTATCAATCAACACCAAAGCCTATTGTTGTTACGAATGGCACGTAAACATATCAATTCGATATGCTTGAACGAGTGCGAGGATAGAGGGTCCGGCGACACGATAGTCTAATCTCATCCGATTGTCCCGAACCCCCATATTGAGTGAAAATAAGAAGACTTGGTATAAAATAGAACATGTATTCTATAAACATCCAGAAAGTACGAGTTCCGAGTCCAGAAGAGGATAAGGATCCCGGACTAGGGATCCGGGTCCGGATCATAAAACGTTACAGACAATGCATGTTTATACAATTAGGTCGAATAGTAAACAACATCGAGATACAGGACATTGACAGTTAGAACGACCAATAGGAAACAACATTTGAAGTGACATTGATAGCTAGGGACGACGACCAATAGGAACTGACTAATAGAATTAGACTTGCAACAATTCTCTTAGGATATTGGTTAAATATCCTAACAACTGTATAAAGCGGAAACTTGGAAAACTACCAAAGCCATCATCCACAAGATACAAGTGTTTATTGATAGTTGTCTACGCAAAATACTTCGGATCCGTTGGCATGATATCGTCAGCAACAAATTACTATGGGATAGGTTAAACCAGATTCCAGCAGCCGAAGAAATCGGACAGCAGCGCAGGTGAATAGGATACATACTGAGGAAAGCACCCAACTGCACGACAACACAAGTCCTCAAGGCCAACGGAAAAGAGGAAGACCAAAATACAAACTACACCCGAGAAATGGAAATAGACAAGAGAAAACTGGACAGTAATTGGATAGAACATGAAAAGACGGTCCAGTGTAAAGTATGTAGGAGAATATTAGTCGGCGATCTATGCTCTATTGTGAAGTACAGGCGCAAGTCAGTAGACTATATCTGATAGTGCCGGGTTTGATTTCCAGAAGGATGATGGATGGAAAAACTGATATCTACTCTGATTGATTCTTGATCAAAAATGAATCAATCTTATCTTCATAAAACGTATAGTTAAATAGAAGATTCATGTAATTATAATTGAGGTTAAATTCGCTAGCTTTAGAGCTTAAAAAAACAAACTATTATACGAGTGCAAATTGTAGATCAATGCTTAAAATGCTCACTTTCTATTCATAGTATGGTACAAGTTCTTTTAACTAATCTCTAGTTTAGAATAGAAGCTGGTATTCAGCCACTGATATAATAGATGAGTAGGATTTTTCGACTTTAATCATAGTTCATCGCAAGATAATAGAAATTCAAGAATATCAAGGATACCGACCGAGTATAATTCATAAGAAACTATACTAATGGTGGTCTAACATTGATCGATTCATGGTTTCACAAAAAATGTGTAACTTAACAATCTTCACAACCCCGTAATGCAAATTACCTGTGCTCACTAGTGACTAGCTTCGTGAGGAGGAATCTTCTCCGAGTTCTAGTGGGAAGACGTGACCACTGTGAAGTTCAAACTGTTCGGGTGTAGGCAGTGTCTACCGAAGACTGTGTATGAGGTTGCGCAACTCCGTGAATTTGATCAAGTTAGACATTAACACCGTTAGATACTGGCTCAGTGGTCTAACGGTTAGGGCGTTCGCGCACAATACGCACAATAAGGTCCTGGGTTCGGATCCTGCGGGGTGCAGGAATCGTGGATGCGCACTGCTGTGGAGTCCCATACCAGGATGAAGCGGCCATCGTCCAGTGCTCCAAGGTTTCTAATGGTGCTAACATTGATCGATTCATGGTTTCAAAACTGTATACTAACTAACTCATATATCACACTAAGAAATGATAAGTTATTCATTTGACGACACTAGAGAATCCAAAATACCCGAGACAATCATTGATTTTATGACCTTAATTATTAACTAGTAAAAAAAAAGTCTTCATCGAATCATCATCATCATCATTATTGACTACTTTTATTTATGACCTTAAAAAATAATAGTAACATATTTTTTTTAGCTAAAATTGTTTATTAAGTCAACACAAGTAACTCATACTTATTTTGATTGAATACTTTGATTAAATATACATATCTAGATAGACAGATGGATAGATAGATAGATAGATACTAGCTTTCATTTACCGACATACATATTATATGTGTACAATAAATAGATTTAATTAGAGTAAATCAACCAACAGGCTTATTATATGCATATATTTTGAAAGAATCTATCTATCTATCTATCTATTCAAGTTTAATAGATTTTGCGTAAAACTTACTATTCACAGTTAGATGATTAGTTGAGTTAATTTAAACAATCAATCAATCAAATCGTTATTACAACAATTATGTACATACATACATATGTATAGATATATGAACCAAATAGAGGTGGTGATCGATGTCTTTTTCACTCTTGCTAACCTTACTTACTACTACAACAGAATGAAAAAAAAAGAACTAATTTTGCCCTCAATTTCTTTTTCAAAATAAAAATTTTTCGAAAAGAAAAACACACAAAATGGCAAAAAACAAATTCTGACCAGCGAAAGGCGAACTAGGTAAAGTAGGTCATGGTGTTCAAAACCGAATAGACAAACAAACAAAACTGTTTATTTATGAAAAAGGAACAAATAATAATAATTGACATCAATGCTAAAAATATAAACAATCAAAAAAAAAAAAGAGATGAAAAGGCAAAACGATCGGTGCATAAATTCACAATTTGGCTATTGAACATTGGACGTGAATATTGAATACTCTTTTAACAACTAAACTGATTGATCAATCAGCCAGCCTATTGGGCGGTTTATTTTGTGTTTTGAAGAAGAAAAAACAACAACAACAACAACTTTGAAATCATCAATCAATCAATCATTGTTAGACCACCATTAGAAACCTGGAAGCAGTGAACGGCCGTTTCGTCCTACTATGGGACTCATCAACAGTGCGCATCCACGACTCCTGCTCCTCGCAGGATTCCAACCCGGGACCTTTGGCATCGAAGGTGAACGGCTAGCCATCGAACCACTGGGCCGGCAACCAACGGTGTTAATGTCTAACTCTGATTGATCTACGGATTTTGCGCAACATCACCCATTTGTGTTTGGTAGTTGAACTCCATTAGTCACGTCTTCTCAACTAGAACTCCGAGAATTTCCTCACGAAGTTAGTCACTAGTGAGCACTGTTACGATATTTTGGGGCACAGTTAGACAATAACACCGTTGGATGGCGGCCCAGTGGTCCGATTGTAAGGCGTTCGCCTACAATGCCAAAGGTCCCGTGTTCGAATCCTGCGAGGAGCAGGAGTCGTGGATGCGCACTGCTGATGAGTCCCATACCATGACGAAACGGCCGTCCAGTGATTCCAGGTTTCTCATGATGGTCATCTAACAATGATTGATCGATGATTCCAAATGTGTAAAAACGCAAACCTCCAAAACTGTGCCCCAAAAACGACAACAACAAAATCATTTGGAAAGGGAAGAGAAATTGTGAACTAAAAATAAACACGAATATATATAGACAAAAATTGGCCAAATATAACCAGTTGCTATTGTATATAGATTTAGAAAAGAATATCATATTAGATATCTTTTTGGGTTACAAAACATAGCATTGATTTGTGCAGTAAA